AATGTTGATTTTCAATTGTTTGTTTGAAGACCTGAGTTACTTTTAGTGCCACTGCCACCGGTGACCTATGTACTCAACTCTCTGAATAATGCATGGTGATTAAACAACGTGGCCCTCTGAATTGTAAATTCTCACAATTATACATCCCATTGTCTATTCATTATTTCAAAACGAATGAGAAATTATGTAAAACTATCTCTAAAGAGGAAAGCAGCGTGTAATATGACTTGCCATATTGTTCATGCAATTCAAATACTCTGCTTTTTCTTTAATCAGATTTAAATGAAATCTGACTTGCATGTCATGCGGGATTATGATACATTTGGAAGATAAGCTATGATAACTACGCTCCGTGCGAGGTGAGGGCACTCAGGCAAAGAGTGTTTTCCAATTAACTGGAACCTCCCTCAAGGTTAAATATACAAGTGTTGACTGAGAGTCGAACTTATATTCTTTCCTCAACCAGATGTGTGGAGGACTTCAGCACACCCCACAGCGTTTCTCTGCTTCTCTGAGGATGTTGTTTTCTGATCCCTTACAAAAGCAATATACGCACATACTGTATATTAAGCAGAGGTGGCAAAAGTACACACATTCTTTACTCAAGTAGAAGTATAGATACCTGTGTAAAGAAAACTGGTAAAAGTAGAACTACTGATTCAAACTCTTTACTGAAGTAAAAATAGTACAGGCTCTGAAGTATAAGAGTAAAAAGTAGCCCTATGAAGGACATTTGTACCTGCTGTTTCTGTGCAAACCTACAGTAACCGAACCTCGTTTCATATTAATATATTTCCAAGATCATTAAACTACTCTAACTTCAAGTAAAAGAAAAAATATACAAAAAAAATTTACATAAACAAACAAGAACACATTTCAGGTCTAATTAGGCCTTAAAGAATAACGCTGGTCTCTTCCTATATTACCCAATTAAACTAAAACCAACAATGAATGGTTAGTGCCTGTCAGTCTCCAGCCTGGATTAACTTATTCATCTGTGTAATAAACCTCCACTGATTAAAAAAAAAAAAAACATAATAGAAACACACTGTGGGTCTGGGTGATATGTTTCTTCAAGACCAGTATATTTGTTAAAAATGTTGCCCCAAAAGCTTTAAGTGATTGTAACTTTTTACAGCACCTGAAGCAAACTCCCTGTAAAAACAAAGGGAGCTAGCAGACTGTAAACAAAGCAGAGAGCTCAAAATGAGAAATGTGCAGATTGTTCATGGATTGAACAGACATCTTTCCATGTGGTTAAGTCTCTCTTTTTATCTGTTTGTCTTGTTACACCTTTTGTGTAATTTTTGTCTATTTCCAGGCGTGATACGCACTGACGGATTCAACGAGGGACTGTCTTTTCTATCTGTTACTGTTCCATCTATTTTAGGCTGAAATCAGTCTTGATGTTGGAAAGGAATTGGGAAAATGCAAAATAAAAACAACCTACATACATAACCTATACAAAAAATGCTGATATTTGTGTTAACAGGTAGGGAATAAAAGTAAAAGGTTGTCTGAAACAGAAATACACAAGTACAAATACCTGAAAAATCTACTTAAGTACTGTAATAAAGTAGTTGTACTTTGTCACTTCCCACTTCTGATATTAACTTAGATGCCAACTTTGACCACCACGCTTTGTTAGCAGCCACCCAGTCTAGATGTTCAAATAACAGAGTACAGTATCATATGTTGTCAGGACCCACAAACGTCCTGTTCAAATTCATCTCACTGTCTTAGTGACTGCCTGTAAATTTCTAATAACTCTTTTTTTAAAAACCTTTCTTTGCATTACATTCCCCTCACTTCACAAAACTGGTTTTCTTACATCACTTCATCAATGTTTGCATTTTTCTCTGTGCAGACTGATGTATGTGTAGAATTTGGTAACACCCATAACAGTCATTTTATGAGGATGGAACATGTACAAGCATATTTTCCATATTCAGTTTATACAAGTGTGGCAAAAACGTTAAACCAGTGGAACACTTACACTGAGAATGGATTTTTCATTTAAGATGGTGATGTTGTGTCTAGTAGTTAAACCTCTGAAAAGACGAATAGTGGCATTTTCACAGGCTTGGGATTTAAGAAGTAGATGCAAGAAATCACATCATACACAAATTATTATTCAAAGCAGATTATAATCATGTCCTAAAAATGTATGGAGAGGATCTTTAACTTGCACATTTCTTATTGTCAACGAAAGTTCTGTTATTTTGATGTTTTGGCATATTTCTTTCTGTTTTACATAACCTGCTTTGTAATGTTTGTTTTAAAAGAGCAATGCATGAACATGGAAAGGCTGTTTTCTTAGTATTAAAAATAGCTCTTCTCGGGGTCAAAGGTATAATTTTGCAAGTTGAAACCAGTACTAAAGCACAGCAACCACCACAGGATGAGAACACACATGAAATCCGTTTGGTGCTGCTGGGCTGGAGAAAAGGGACTATTACATTGCTCTTGCTTACAATCATTCTTAAATTTGAATCTTCAAACTATAAAAGGGTTATTTAAAATGAAATCATGTAAAGTGTTTGGTCATTGCCTAAACAATATTTGTTTCTGTGCTGTAGTTTTGTTTCTTTTGCCTTCTATCATGGTGTTTTTTTTATTTGACTACAATATTTACAATTATATTTAACAATATTTTCACAGATACTTAAACTGACTGCAGCTAAATATTGTACTGTATCACTGCGCCGTCTCTATTTGTTCTGTACGCTTCTTTTTTCTCACCTTGCTAAGAAAGTGCATTCTAGTTTTTTAACATGCAGCATCATGAAGGGCATGCACCTTGTTGCATTATGCACAGAGTGTTAAGGACCTGCAGAGAGACTGCTGCTTCCTGCTCCTCCTCCTCCTCTTCTGGAAGTGTTACCCTCTCATCCTTTATCTCCCCTCATCCGCTATTCTCCTCCTCACCTCCTGCTGCACGCCATCCCTCTGCTGAGCACAGGTATTTGTTTAGGAATCTCTCGGTGGAAATTATACTCCATCTCCGGCGCTCCCTATCAACACACAATTATCATGGGCAATCATGCAGAACAGTGTTGAATTCAGCTGGGACTCCCACTCTGATGACATTACTGACTGCAAGGCCCTGGCCTCTTCTAGACGTAGCTTGCTCTGCTTACACACACACACACACACACACACACGCACTTGGATGTGGAGAAAAAAATGATTAAACTTTTTTTATCTTATTAGGATTTCATTTAAACCAGGAAGTTCACCAGATAAGAAATCTCTTTCCTAGGGGAGACTTGGCTGAAAGGACAAATCCCAAGATCTTAAAATGTATTTGCATCTGCCAGTCTCTGCGGCCTCTTCTAATGACCTGCAGTGGTTCACCTCGGTGTAGCTTCTCAAACAGCTGAGCTGAGGTTTGGTGTGGCCATGCTCTCAGAAATTTGGAAGTGTGAATATACATCATAAGAGGATTCTGTGAAGGCAAAGTCAATCACACAAAGTAGTCAATGCCTTACATTGTGTCACCCTCTCCTGCATTCTGAGGCAAACCACAGATGCATTTCCCTATGTATGATAAGTATATTATAAAGCACAAAAGCCAGAGAGTTGATACAGACACGAGAACTGACACAGGGGTCCATTCAGATCCTGATCAAATGCTCCATTCATGAGTGAAATTACCATCCGTCTGTCAGCCAAGGTGTGAATTTTTTTCCATCTACAGATCCTACCTCTGAAGTTGTGATTAAATGCATAACAGCACATACACGCCACATAGACTCTAGATAAGCAAAGTGCGATTTCTCCCTCTCAGGGTGTAGGTTGAAGTATAAATCAAGAGAGACAACAGTGCCACCTTGTGGTATTTAGGTTCACTTTTTATACATTTTCAGAATTTGTTACAACAATTCCCAATACTGGGAAAAAGAATTAAATAAGAAAAAGAGATTTAAGATGTAAAAATATGTTTCCAGTAGGTGCTCTGCTGGTCATTGCTGTCAGTCTATTTATGTCTTTAGACATAGTCACAGTATACTGATGATGGCCAACCTTTTCCCCGGAGATCTACTTTGACTAAATTATAGTGGCTGAGAGCTACTTGTGTTTTACATTACCAGTTACATTTTGCATGAAAACTCTCCAACTGATCTCCAAACCACACCAGCTGAATGAGCTGTTCTGTGTAAAAAGGTATCACATATCAACAGGCCTATACATTTGTGTACCACAGTTGGCAGGGTGTCAAGTTCCTTTCACAAATCAAATCTTTATTTTATAGACTGCAAGTATTGCATGTGTCATTTATACATTTAGGTGCTGTAAAACAACAGACAGTTGGTTATTGCAGTTTGGGCTCCTTATCAGTACAGACGACAATGGAGGCAAGTAAGGTAGGCTACTGTAAACCCCTTACTGCCCAAATGCCACAGTGTGATTAAGAATGATTAATTCAATCATATCTACACACATAGATATGATACACATTTTTCATTCAGTCTCCTTTACCTACACTTTGCATTATGATCTCTGATGTCCACGCAAATAAATATGCACAGCCCTGCTTAGAAAACGTGGCATTATACATCCTGTTTCTTGTAAATGTTTATCATTGCATTTAAGTGAATAATTGTAATGTTTAAGAAAACATTTACACCAATGTAAACATGCCTGACAGGTGGTTAACTGTTTTGAGTGACACGTGATCGACAAATAATAATTTGGTGTCAGAGGAGGGTGGGATATCTGTGCATTTGATAAGGTTTGGATTGAAGCAGATTTACTGAGTGAAGTTTTTTAACATTTGTACCATGGAGCGATAGGCCTACTGCAGGCACCCAACACCGGTTAAGAAAAGCAAACAAACCCTTATACAGTTCTTTGATAAAAATGATTTTAGACATCAAAGTTTACCTTCGCTGTGTCATTTTATTGTCAAATATATGACAGAAAAAAACGTTTTAATTATTTGGATGAATATGATGTTATGTCAGAATCTCACAACACACTCAACAAACACAAGAGTTCCATAAAAGTAATTCAAGCTTCAAGCTTCACTTATTAACAGAAACAAGACTATGCTAGATAAATAAGCAGGTCAAACTATAAACAATATGACCCCAAAAAAAAAAAACAGCATCCAAGCTATGTACTGAAACACTGTGATAAAAGGCACAGGATACATTCAGAGTATGTATTTGATGATATTTCTGAATAAAAATGATGATATAGGCTACTACTGTATATTTCTTAGTTTCAACAAATCCCATCAACACCAAAAATGAACTGACTCTACTAATAAGTGCAACTGTGCAGTCAAATCCTGATTTATCTTATTTCTCTGTGCCATAGAGCTACTGTCCAAAAACAATTAAAACATCGGTGAGCCACACTGTTGCACTGACTGACATGTTATTTTATTATGATGAAAATGGACGCTGTAGTCTATACTAAGCTGATAAACATATGCTGTCAGGTTGTCATAAATATTTAACATAACATCATTATCATAATCCACAATTGAAAATTGTCCCCCAGAATGCACACTTTACTTCTGTTTGAGCACTGTGTACAGTGCCCAGGCATTTCAGGAACTTATTTAGCCTTTCTATTTGTCTGCTGTGTAATGGATTGCAGAGAGTGACATTTTCTATATAAATGAATAAGCCGAGTGGCAGAGACAAAGTCTAAAATGAACAAGGGAATAAACACACTGTTTGTTTTGGTCGTTTCATGGGATTTGTGTACAGTAACCAAAATATAGTATATCCTCAGTGTTATCCTTTATACTGAATACAGAAAAGGCTGCTGAGCCTGTGTTCTTTTCAAAAACACTGGTTACCATTACTGTATATACACAATATAAAAGTGACCATTCCCATGCAAACAGAATTTTTCCTTATCAACATTTCATTTCTGGTGATTTTTGCATTTCATATAATTACATTCAGAAGCACCAACAAATTAGATTTAAACAAAATGTCATGCACTGCAGGCATTCATAATGTGTGTGATCAGATTAGTTGAGAATTCCTCTTACTACTTACATATTGCACAGAAATATATATACAGTAAAGTAGCTCAGTTGCACATAGCTGCAGGTGGAGTGATTAGGATTATGTTTCTGAGCTGAGTAATGGTTGAAACAGTGTCCTAGCCTGTGAGATCATGTACAGTAATACCGGCAGAGTCCTGTTTTTACAAGGTAGACAAAATGAGGAAATATCTGCTGGTAAGGAAAAAAATGAAATAAAAACAATGGTTCCAAACATCTCAACCCTTCTCTTCTTCTAACCTGCTGCTGATTAAAGTCAGTGGTTGTAATTCTGGATGGTTCTGCCAATAAGAAGAAAAAGAAGACCAGCTAGAAGGCAGAAGAAGATGCCAATGGGGGCAAACATGAAGGACAGGCCATAGCTGAGGGACAGGTGGAAATCTGAACATGCTGAGCGCTTGTAGGCTATGTAGTCATCCACCACAGCCAGCGCCTGCAGCCATATGACGTACATCACCACCACACACAAAAGGAACAGACCTGGGCGACACAAGTAGAGATGAGACGGTGAGGATGTGATGATCAATGGATCCAAAACCGGGAATAAAAATACATATTTAACCAGTGGTGGGAGAAGTATCTTGATTTATTGCTTTAGTAAGTGCACTTTAAAAAAACTCCACCATTACAAGCAAACGCCTCTTTAAGATCCTTCTTACATAAAAGCACATAAGTATTATTGGTAATTAAAAGTGCTCATTCAGCAGAAAATTGTCCTCTGTGACTGATATGATGGGTTTTACAAAATTTTACTGCTGCTAGTCAAGCTGTGACTCATTTACTACATATATTGTTTGGTAGTTTAGTTTAGTAGGTTCCCAACATAGGGGTCTCATCCCCTATAAAGGGCCATAAGATAAATTTGAATGGTCTTGGCAGAAGAAAGAGGACAAAGGTTATGTCACTTTACCAACTGTTTTATAACTTTTGCTTTTTTTTGTGAAGTATTTGATAACTTTATCTCTTTGGGCCTTGTAAGTAAGTATACTTATTCACTTTCCACCACTGCATTTAGCCATTTAAAAACCTTACCAGATGCCAGGAAGAGGCCACCTCCTGCTTTATATAGGTGATGGCTGGCGAATGGAGCTGCCCAGATGATAATCAACCCACCAAGCACCACAGCTACCACACCAATAATCATAAAGATGCTCCAGAAACCTCTGTAGACTGGACAGCAGAGATCTTAGCCATTTGTATTGAGAGACATTGGCTTATTTAAAAATGCAATCTCTCTCTGCACAACAGTGACTTACTTATAGCAGAATCTTTCTCTGTGGCATTGGTGTGATGAGACATGGGGAACGGGAAGAGGTAGGCATGTGTGCACACTTTAGAATGTGGTTGATTTGCTAGAGAGAGAAACAATAAATAAACAGAACAAATGACAATGTAATCTTAAAAGTAAACAAACACACAATATGCAATCATACAATATAACAAGGTAACAATTGGCAAAAAAAACAAGTTGTCTTCCTCTCAGCACTTTAATGTTGACTGTGTAATTTCCATACAAGATAGATATGTGCATCCTTTACTGTAAAAATGTTGTTCCTTACAAACTGATGATTTGCATTTACATTGTAAGTTTAATCTTAATTTGTAACTTATTCATATATTCAGTTCCCCCCCATGTTTCACAACACAAAGACAGGATTATTATACAGCTTTTCTCTTATGTTTATATTCTTTCCCTGCTCTCTGTCTGTCTTAACATGTGAACTTCCACAGACCCTCACAAGGTCCTTTCAGTGTGTGAGGCTGTTTAGGACAACGACCCACCATTGTCCCCATCAGAAAATAGATGACACACAGTCACCTGACCAACCACCAGAATAACATCACATGGCACAACCTCTAAATGATTACATGAGGGGGTTTCTACCCGTATGGTGTCATATAGTTTTTACAGACGTACTGTAATAGCAGCAAATCAAACACTGATAGTCAGTAATAGTGTTGCCATACGACTCTGTGGAAGCACATGATTGGAGGAGAAATTTTTCCACTGAGTCAGGAAAAAAAAAATTATTACATTTTCCCTTTTATTTCTTAATTTCAATCAGTAGAACAAATCTAACCCTAATGTTTTGTTTGTGGCCTCCTTAACAACTGAGAAAACCTACAGTACTTACAGTAACATTGCTTTATCAGCTCGATACTTTTATGAAAATTGCTTATAAACTGAACTTTAAACTGATGACATTTCAGGGGTCTGCTACAGAAAATTACTCTTTACTTTTGTTTCATGGTTTCAGAGTCACCAGCTTTATAATATCTTATCCCTTCCAAATCCCAGATTTCTGTTACTGGGGTTTTGCTCAAAGGAGATTTAACAGGGAGGTAGACCTCTCTGGAGTAACATACTCCACATTTATTTATCGGTGAATGTGAATATATACATATACAGTACTGTCTTGTTGTAAGAACCACCAAGAAACGACGCGAAATAAAGAGACATCAGACAGAGAAACACGCCCGTCTCTGTGTGCAGTATATTACAGTATCAATCCAGTGGATTCTGGGAAACAAAAAAGCCATGTGTGTTCATCTGACTGAAGCGGTATTTCAGCGGAAGTTCTGTACCGGTTGTTGAAGGTAAATCTTGTACACCGCGAGTTTGTAATAACCGAATGTAAGTTGACAGTCGCCTAAGAGTGTTGTGTATACGTAATTCTGTAAGTTTCATTTGTTTATAGCAATGCATATGTTGGATGTTTACAGATCTTAGTCCCAGCGTGTGACCGGTGGGATTTGCGGAGTGTGTCGTGCATCGATTACTGCAGACGGACTTTCTGTACAGTTAGGTTTTATTTTAACTCCGCATTCATTATTATGTTTTAGGCTAGCAGGAGAAATGTTACATTTCTGACGTCTAATGTATGTGCTCTTTGTTTGTTTGTACAGTGTGCCATCACAGTTATTTCTGTATTTTCTGTATTCCTTACTTTAACGGAAGAGTATTATGTTGTTGTACTTCAAGGCAAGGGTGCAGTTGTAAACGCCACGCACCGAAGGAGAGAGGGACAGGGTTGACTGTTGTTTGATGTTGTTGTTTTGTTCATTTTATATTTTTTGGAGAAAACCCCAATTATTTATATTCAGAATAAAACACCCAAAAGACATTGTTGTGTCCTGCGCTGGTTCAATTTCACCAGGCCACACATGCATAGCCTATATACTATAAAACAACATCAACTATGATAATATATAATGTATTTTAATATGCTGACTGGATCTTTCTGGATTTTAACATGTAAAGTATTTTGTAATTCTGTTTTCAGAAAGTGATTTATAAATAAAGTTTGTATTATTGTTATTATTCTTTGCTTTATAGTTATATCTGTATTTTGTCATATTCATCAAAAGTGCAGTCTCTGTTTGTGGCAAAGGAAGGAGTTACCACTTCAGTACTTTTCTCCATATTGATCTCCATTTAAAACTAGATTATTTATCTCAGGTGGTTTATCCTGATCTAATAATAATAATACATCTGATATAAAAAGCATCAAAAGAAAAGCCACAAAATATTCTAAGAGCAAAATGGTGATTTTGAAATCATTCTCTCTATTAAATACAAAGCAGACTATGGAACATCATGTGTCTCACTTACTGAACCAGAACTTCCATGGCAGATTATCATCACCCATGATGCCTGTGAAGCAACACTTCCAGAAAAATCCCTCATGGTATAGAATCACATTACTAGTGTTCTTCCACGCCACCACATCTCCATGCTGGAAAAAAGGTAGAAAGAATAGTGACTCACTGCCAAATATAAATGGGCTATATAAAGTCTGCAGTATACGCTGTATGTGTTATCTGTTGATGCCATTATAGTCTATGAGATTTGTCTTGAGATGATATGAGGCAGGTGTTGCACAGAGCAGCTGCATGGGCTGAGCTGAGCAAGCACCTCTAACCTCATTCTGGTTTGTTTTGGTACTGAGTGGGTGTAGAGGTCAAGGATGTTCCCATTCAGGAAACGTTCATCACTAGTAGTCACTATTTTTGCACATGAGCATGTTACATCAACTATAAAATGCCTCTTAGAGAAATTACACCAGAGTTCGTAAAGAAATTTCAGAAAATCAAGGTTAATCCAGTCATATTTATTGTTTTAAAATCAGCCCTGTGGTTGGTTGATCAATTACATTGTTAGTTAGTTTTCAAACTAATTTTGAAATTACTACTGTCCATGCTATAGGACTGTGGACCTTTAACCTGGGGGTCATCTCCAAATGCTGACCTCATAAATCTAAAGGATCACAAGACAAACAATGGGACTGGACAGAATTACATTAAGAAAAGTGCAGGGACCTCCCCAAAACAAACTTCTTCGCATCAAGTGCAGTGAAATTTTCTTATGGAATAGTGAATAGTTTTAACTTGTTGGCCCCAGAAAATGTAGAAAAGCAAAAAATGAGGGGGAAGAATCACTTTGGTTGACTAATAACCATACTGGGGTTGTGACAAAGGGTCATACTGGGATGTTTTAAGGGGACACAAGCCAAAAGATGAGAACCAGTGCTATAAGATGTGAACAATTCTACTGAACTGTCCAAAGACAGAAAATCCTGATGCCTTTACACACCCTATCCTCCATTATATATATTCAAAAGTAAGACTTTAGAATTGATTGCACTGAGACCACATTACATTGCTACGTACCATACAGTATATACCCAGTACTTTGATTTTATTGTGGTGATATCATGTTTCAATTCCAGTATCAGTGCCCACTATGGAAAGTAAGCTATATACCCAGTACTTTGATTTTATTGTTTCATGTTTCAATTCCAGTATCAGTGCTCACTATGGAAAGTAAGTATGTTCTAGTCAGTGATATTTAATACAGTACCATACCACTGGGACTGCTGGTATTTGTATTTGTATGATAGGGCCACATGCTACAAGCTGTGTCTCAATCACTGCATAGTTACATTACACAGTGTCTGGTTACACCCTGCAGGGATTCCTTTCTGCCCTGCAATCTGTGTGCTGAAGAATGACCCAAGCTACTGATCACAGTTTCCAAAACAGAAAAAGCAACCACTAGTTTAAGAATCAACCATCACTTCGTTGTAGTAATTAATTATGAGGGGAGAAAGTGAAACATAACAATTTGCTATTTAAATCTTAAATACTCTATAAAACAAATGACTTAAAATGGTTATTCCTTAGGTCTACCAGGTTACAAATATGAACATTTTTCAACCTAAGAACACATTAACTTATATTCAGGGTCGACATATGATATCACCTGAGTTTCCTTGATCTGCTGCTGTTTCGAGTCCACCTCTACAGTCACACAACCCGGGCCAAGAGATCTGCCAGGGTTTTGGTGGCACCTCTCTAAGGCCAGCAGCCAGTAATCAGTTCCAAATGATAGGAGGATGAACACAGCTGCCAATGCCCCAAAGAGACCCGCAAAGAACAGTGCCACACTAAGCTTCATGGTCCAGCACTGACCAGCCACTCTGCCCACACTCACTGATGTTTCCCTCCAACTACGCTGCGTGCATGTGACAAAGAAACAGTTGCTCTTCTTGCACTGTATTATATCCACCAACTAAGCTGGGTTGCTTCTCTGTAGAGCTGCTTTTTCTGTTGGGTAACTGGATCTGGACCCCTCTCCTGTCCGTCTGTCTGTGTTATGTGAGGACAAGGTTGTACGTATGACTCCTTTGGACCCTTCAACAGGCTATGTAGCCAGCCCATCCCCACACAGCCTGACCTATTTTGGGTTCAGATTGAAGGCGGCTGTTCCACGCCACCATGGGGCTGAGTGTGGGGACTAGCTGGAGAGTGCATAGGGAGAGGACTAACACAGAAATAACCAGTGGCAACTGGACACCCAGCATCTACACAGGAATGTCAAGGCAGGGTGAGGCAGAAAGGACAGAAGAGGAGTAAAGTGTCCCACAACACCCTGCCCAGATAGGACAACACACATGTAAACACAGTAGTTTCATTTCCTGTAAATGGGGGTGAGGAAAATTACTATAAATGCAACTTTTCATATAGTTTCTAAAGGTTTTTCCATTGTATCAGACAACAAAAAGACAGTGATGAAATTAAGTTTATAAACATGTAAACTAGTCCTCATGGTATGTACCAATAATTTTTTAAAAGACTATAAAAACATAACTAATTTTACAGAAAAACTACACTAAAACAACTATATTTAGTAATTATTATACACTGCTCAAAAAAATAAAGGGAACACTTAAACAACACAATGTAACTCCAAGTCAATCACACTTCTGTGAAATCAAACTGTCCACTTAGGTAGCAACACTGAT